GTTGTTCTGGTACTCATCAACATTCCTCTGTATCAAGGACTTTTCTTTAGGGAGGATAAAGGGAAAATACCCAAAAATGTAACAATCAAATCTGTTGTCCTGGCTCTCTCTGTTTGTTCCTGTTTTACATTCATGTATTAAAGCTCAACTGGATATAACTTTTGATGTTTTGATTTTCTTTTCTTATGTAGTTTTGGTTTCATATATTTTGAGAAAATAATAATGGAGATTATATGAATAGAATCTATTATTTTACAATTTAAAATGCATCTCACTTCAAAGATACATTTTCAATGTGAGTATAAAAATAAAAGGAAAGTCAAATATAGAAGGAAAGAAATCCAGTTTTTCCATCTTAACCAGAGCGGAAGAGCCATGTGTGATTGTGCCGTAAACATGAGACGAGAGTATAATAGCCTCTTAAGTCCTAAGACAGCAGAAAACCTCCAAGGGTCAGAACTACTCTGAAAATTCTAGGTTCTCTTCTTGTCTGCTCATAACTTACTGGCGGCTTAGAAGATTCTTATTGGATTCTCTCGGAACTCCGAACAAATCCCAAAGGCAAAGTTTTCATCTTTCAATTTTATTTTTTTTTCATTTTCTTGTCAAATTCTAATGGTTTTCATTATAGATTTTCCTTTCCTTTTACTACCTTTTGTATTTTCTTTTTGCTTTTTCTTGATTTTAATTCTGTTTTCACTGTTTGTTGCTGGCATTTTAACTTTTCATTCTTTTCTTGCATTTTCTTATCTTATTTTCCTGGGTGGAAATGATTTTTTTTTTTTAGCAAACTAGTTTCTGGGTTTTTAAGGGTTCATTTTTTGATGAATGTCTCTAAGTGAAAGTTTAAATTTTTTGCTTCTGAAATCCACATTGGATGAATATTGTAATTCAAATGGAAAAAAGGTCACACCTTTAGTTAAGTAATGAATTAATGTTGTGTTTTCCATTCTGTTATTGTGTTTATGCTACCATGTCCAATTCCATGACATGGCTGATGTTGTCCTTATAATTTATAGATGAAAATGGGGTCGGCCGCAGTTGTCCTTGCCTTGATTCTGGCACTTCTGCCTAATGTGAAGCCTGTGTTGGCAATTAGAATATTTATGCAAAGTGAAGAGTGTCTCTCCTATGATGTTAAATACATAGGGGATACACTTCTGGTGTCCTTTGTTGTTGTTAAGTATGAATCCAGTTGGCAAAAAGATCAGCAGGTTGTTGATCTTGTGGTAAGCTTCTCTTTTCTTACTAATACTCTGCAATGGCAGTCACATTTCACAATCAATGGCTCTGCGTCTAGGTATGCCTACAAAGTTCTTTTCAAGGTGTTTTTGTTGTATTGAGTTTGCTCTCTTTTATGCGATTTGCCAGGTTAAGAGACCTTCCGGGGAGCAGATTATTGACTTTCGTGACAGAGTTAGTGAGAAATTTGAGTTTGTGAGTCATGAAAAAGGACCCCACTGTCTCTGCTTCATCAATAAATCTTCTTACTATGAAACCATCGATTTTGAGGTGCAAGAAAACCATTTTACAGTCTATGATGAGCATGCAAAAGATGGTGAGTCATGAACCTTTAATCTAATCATGCAAAATCCATAACTAAAAATACAATTTGTCCACAAATTACGGTAAATTTTCCAGAAAGAGAACCCAAAAGCTGGATTCAGAAAGCATTAAAAAGGGAGACAAATACACCATACAAAAGTAAAAGGAAGAGAATAGCTGTACCTTGGATTGATAATTGGGAACAGGAAAACAGTTCCCAAATTGAGCTCAATGACAAAACCCTAGGCAGACGGCGAGAGCCACCGCGGAAACTGCTGCTGCTGCTGCTGCCGCTGCCGATGAGCTCGTTTCAGGAGACGAGAAAGACTAAAGATGGTGTTTCTCAAAAAAAAAAAAAAAAAGACTAAAGAGGGTGGTGCTGCTGTTCCAGGTTGTTCGTTGGGACAATTGCGTAGTTATGCTGAAGACGCAAGGGTGGTTTTGTCAAAATTGTACACCTCTGAACATCAATAAAAATAATCTTTTTCATTTAAAAAAATAAGTAAAAATAATCATTTTCATTTGAAAAAAAAAAATTAAGTAATTATCAGCTTGACGTTGCTCTCTCTTCTTAGCACAAAGTTATTTAATAACTACCGAAAACTTAATTGAATTGATGTTTATTAA